CGTCGGCGGGGTGGTCGGCGTCCGGCCCGACGCTGGCCCGTGCTCCACCTTCCACACCTCTAGCGACATGTTCTCGTAGAACACCACGTCCGACGTGGTGACTACCCTATTGTCGGCGATGTCGAGGAGCTCCCAGCCCTTTCTCTCTTCCGACACGCCGAGGTGAAGGCCCCATCTGGCCTTCGGCTTCACCTTTCCACCACACCGTTGGTCGGGGACCAAGAACTGCGCCATGTAGCCCCATACCCGGGCCAGCGACAAGTCGGGCTTCTTCCTGATCTGCAGCTGGTATGGCGTCGTCCCCGGCTGCAGCGTCAACCGCTCCAGGCAGTTGCGGACCCAGACGGCCTGCTGCAGAGCGAGATGCCACCAGTGGTGCTGCACGCCCATGTGCAGCAGCATCGTTCCCACCGACTCCACCACCGTCCTCATCTCGCGCTCCGCCATGCCGTTCTGCTGCAGGGTGTAGGGGCAGGTCAGGTCGTGGACGATCCCCTTGCCGTTCACGAAGTTGGTGAACTGCTTCCCGAGGAACTCCCCTCCCCGGTCAGAGCGCAGCATCAACACCGACTTCTTCGTCTGCTGCTCAGTCGCCGCCAGCCACTGCACGAACTCCTGCAGCGCATCCGACTTCTTGGCGACCGGCCTCACCCACACGTAGCGGGTCTTGCGGTCCTTTAGCAGCAAGAAGTACAGGCTGCCATCCTTGGCAGCCACCCAGAATGGCCCGCACAGGTCGACGTGCATGACGGCCAGCACGTCATCGGCGTCGGAGCCCTGGTCGGGGAAGGTGTGCCGCACCAGCTTCCCGCCGACGCACGAGACACGCGACAAGTCGGCGCCAGACGGCGACTTGAGGTCCAGCCCAGTGGTGACCTCGTGCTTTGCCGAGCTCCGGATGGTGTTCATGCCGACGTGTGCAAGCCTCGCATGCAGCTTGTCCGGCGTCGACTTTGTCACTGAGACGATCGCCAGTAGGGCCACGACCTTCGTCGTGGGCGTTGTCGACTTCGCCGAGCAGGGACACAGGTCGGTGCACAGGACTCGCCCGGTGTAGGACGCCCGACCGAGGACGTCTCCCGCCGCCGAGACGAGCAACATCCAGTCGCCGTCCTCCTACAGCTTCACACCGTTCTCCCTCAACTGACTGGCCAAAAGAAGGTTTTCTCGCACGCCCGGGACATAGAGCACGTCGGGGATGAGCACCTGCCTCTCGGCCTCCCCTTGCAGAGCGACAGTGCCGCGGCCCCATACTTCCTGCAGCGCCCCATTGAAGCCGCGCACGTGCTTGACGTCGTCGCTTGGCTGTACGTCGACGAAGACCTCCTTCGTCCCCATGAAGTGGTGGGAGCAACCACTATCGAGCAAAACTACTGCCGGGTTTGCCTGCACGGCGGCCGCCATCGCCAGGAAGTCCTCGCCGGCCTCCGACGCCAGCGAGACAGTCGGCTCCACGACGCCGACCAGCGAGCACGATGCCTCTTTGTCGTCTCGCCCTTTGCCGCCAGGTGAGGAGTCAGCGTCCTTCGCCGAGGTCGACGACTTGGTCGACTGCTTCTCCTTGCGCGGCTGGTTTCTGCCTTGACGGGGACGACGGCTGCCAGACCTCCCGCGGCCTCCCTTGGCATCGTCGTCGTTGGAGTCACTGCGGTCAGGGCACTCGAAGGAGAGGTGGTTGGGGTCGCCGCACAGCCAGCACTCCCGACGTCGACTTCCTCCTCCACGACTGCTATCCTTGGCCGACTTCTTCTTGTCGGCATCCTTGGTCGGCTTCCAGCCACTACTACCGCCGCCAGACTGCCCGCGCTGCCCCGGTCGACCACCTTGCTTCACCGGGGCAACGTAGTTCACCTGTGCAAGGAGCTCCGTGGGCTGCTCAGCTTCCTGCATCGCCTCATCCTGCAGGATGTACGAGGTAAGAGAATCCTCGTTGAGTGTCGCCCTACTACTTGGCGCCAACGACAGTCGTTTCAATAGATTGTAGCTGCTCGTGAGACCTGTGATAACGTGCGTGAGGTACGACGCCGTCGAGTAGTGCACGCCGGCCATCCTCATGGTGGCGAGAATTCGCCGAGCCCGGTTGTATTAGTCGGTCGCCGTCTCCTCTTTGCCCATCCGTATGTGCGACAGCTGCTCCTCAAGCTGGCCGATGTACAGGGCGTCGGTGACCTGGTACGTCGACTTGATGAAGTGCCATGCCCGGTGGCCGGCATCGAGGTACTCCCTACATGACTTCAAGGCGATCTGCATGCCTGGCGAGCAGCACCGCGAGATGACCGTGAAGGTCAGCAACTGCACGGCGCGAAACTCCGCACGCAAGTCGGGGTAGTGTTGCTCCGGCGTCGCCACAGTGCCCCTGGCGAAGCCGATCAGCCCAGCCATCTCCAGCTTGGGCTCGATGGCTTCCTTCCAGGTGAGGATATCAGGTCGACCAACAAGCAGGGGGGTGACCGAGATCCTGTCCGGCGTAAACTTGAAGTAGCTGTAGCTCGGTGCAATCCCGCCCGCTGTCACGTGGGTCGCCGACATCGGCGACAAACTGCTTCGTCGACCTCCGACATCGCCTTGTGAGGAGCCTGCAGCCGTCGACGACCGAATCCCTCGCGCCTGAACACCGCCAACCTCATCGGCATGTATCACACCTCGCTGCCTCGACGTGCCTCCCGCATTGCTGCCGACTTGGTCACCACCGGCATTGACTCCCACGTCGACGCCGCCCTCGTTGTTCACCGGTCGAGGAGAAGCTGGTCGAGCAGGGTGCTCTTCTCCCCACACCGAGCGGATGCCTGCCTCGATGACCGCCAACAGTAGGTTTGGCCCGTACTTGTTGGCCTCATGGCGTCTCCTTGCGTCCTCCAGCCGTGCCTCCAGGGTGTCCACCACTCCTGCGTCACCTACGGCACCTACCATAGTGACTTCAGCACAACTGCCGGCCTATAAACACGAATTAGGTAAGTGACCACTACGTTGACCTGACTGAAGGGGTAAGTCGTGTGCCGTCCACGCTCACCGCACCATGCAGAGATAACTCTATCAACGGGAGCTAGACTGCGGGCTAGGCACGGGGTAGGAGGGATCTCTGCGTTCGTTCACTTAGTCGTTCTCTAGCACTTGTGCGTTCATAGGGCAAAACCACAAGAGTTTCACTAGCAAAAGTTGAGAACAAAAAGGTAGCAACTAGATTGACAAGGTTGACTACACCAGAAGCCTAGCATACAAGTCGACCATCGGCTCAGCACGAAGGCGACTTGCCAGCTGGTCGACCTCAGGCGTCCTCAGGCATCCTCAGTTGACCTGCAAGGCTGGCGTGCCAACAAGCCACCACAGGTCACCACACGTGCTCATGTGCGCACACCTACTTCGCAGGTGCAAGGTGATGGTAACGACATGCACCGCCACGCACATTGCGCAGGTGCCAAGTCAACCACATGTCGACGGTTGCACCTGAGGAGTCCTGTTGACCACGTGCCACCAAACTGCAGGTGGACATTGCCAATCTACCTGGGCGACAGACGCGAACCTTGCAGACCTCGTCGTCCGGGTAACCTGGTCTACTTGGCAACCATGTCGACCAGGTGTGTCATCCCAAGCCCGTCGACCGCCCAGGTCGACGACCACCACATGTCGACCTCACCAGGTCGACCACTCCCCTGGTCAACCAACTTCAGGTCAACAACCCACCTGGTCGACCAACTCCAGGTTGACCAGTACAACTGTCAGCCGACCACACCCAGTCGGCTTCCCCTGGTCGGCGTCACCCAAGTCGACGCCCTCCACTGGTCGACCACCCAGGTCGACGACCACCACATGTCGACCTCACCAGGTCGACCACTCCCCTGGTCAACCAACTTCAGGTCAACAACCCACCTGGTCGACCAACTCCAGGTTGACCAGTACAACTGTCAGCCGACCACACCCAGTCGGCTTCCCCTGGTCGGCGTCACCCAAGTCGACGCCCTCCACTGGTTGACCTCCCAAGTCGACCAGCCGAAGTTGGTGCCCTCCCAAAGCCAGCGGCCTTGCATTGGCCCTTGCGCAGGTCGACCAGGCCCGTCGACCAGCTCGCCGACTGCTGCAGGTCGGCTGCACTCCTCACACCCGACCCCGAGGTCTGCTTCGCCCAAGCGAGGATGGGGCCGACAACAACTCCCGTTGACAAAATTGAGTCGAGTGGAGCTCAACTGGAGCGCACATTTCATCAGCAAGAGCCACCGTGAGGGTTCTCGTGTCGATGTATTTTGCCATGCCTTGCCAGATCAAGGCTAAGATCCAGGTTTACCCTTCCGCGGAAAGGTAAATGGTGAAGAGTATGGAAGAATGGCAGGGCAGTTCGATTTAGGGTGACCAGCCAGCTACGACACTGCAGATTCGAGAGAACTCGTTGAGCCAATCACCATCCAGAGAACCCAACTTCTCTTAGATTACTGTTATTTTTCGTCCAATTTACCATATCATGGTGAATGCAAACACATCCCTGTGACAGCCGAAACGCGAAAGCTTGTTTCAGCAGGGAGAAATTGAGGCATCAGTCCCAAATCTCCGCTCCGCTATGGCCTCAAATTGGGGCATCACCTCCCGAGGAGTTGGAAGCACTTGAAAGCTTCAATGCTCTGCATGCATCAACCAGTCCCTTCAATACTAGTGTTTGTGTGTTTGTTTCTCCCTCCATCTACTTAGTAGTACTATCATACCATTACCGATGCCCCCTGTGTGGTTGCATCCCTGAGAAGCGATTGCACCCCGGCAGTGGAGGACCACCAGAGGTAAAAAACGTTCAACTTGCGAGGATCTATTAGTCGAAAAGTGCGACTAAAACTTTCCGTCGTTTGAAACGATGGGAAAACTCGGAAAAGAAGGGGAAGTCTGCAACGGGAGTCCGAGGGTTAGGGCGAAAAGGGCGAGAAGAGTTTCCTACTAGCGCGAAATTTCCAAGGATTTCTCGTGAGTAGGGGATGGGGGGGACGGATCGAGCGGCGTGGCGGTGATTGTTGGAGCAAGCGATGGAGGGGGGAGATGGTGAGCTGGACAACGAAAATTTCATGGAGAAGATGCGGCGACGACTAGATAGGTGGTACTTAGCCTCTTCTCGTTTGCTTTTGTTATGTTTTTTTTGTTTTGTTTTATTTTACATTCCAAACGTACCCTCTTGAAGTTCAATTGCCCTCGCAGTGAGCTGAACAACGACATTTCAGCAAATGATGACTACGCGACGACGTCTACTGAGTCTGGAGGCAAAGCCGCTGCCTCTACCTACAACATGAGGCTATAGTGGGCTAAATTCTCTCTGACAATGCACAATTTCAGCAACATATATTACTATCTGCTTCGGTCAGTTTCAGCAGAGTCACTACTCACGTGTCCATCCGGGCCCCTCTCAGCATGTGACTGTCCGCAGGAGCGGGAGCTGCCGAAGTGAAAGTGAACGTGAGGAAGAGGGGTCAGGCCAGTGCCAAACACACTCCCGGATTGTGGAAGGGCCTTCCATTCCCTCCATCCCCCATGCTTTCTCCCACACCCCACAGCGTGAGAGCGTCTTTCTCCCCATGATATAGGTGTGCTTTGAGGGGGTGGGCGTGTCCGCCAAGGTGCAAGTGCGGGCGAGGACTCCCAAGCACCCCTCCCATCTTCTACCCCCCCCATCCCCCACAGCGTAGGAGTGTCGTTCCCTAGAGTGGAGGTGCGCTTTGAGGGGGTGAGCGCGTCTGCCAAGGTGCAAGTGGGGGCGAGGGGCCTACCCACGCTCTTCAACCAGCTCGCCAACTCCACCGGGGTAGTGCTGAGGGAGCTGCGGCTACTCAAGGACCATCGCCGCCTCTTCCTCGCTCTTGACGGTTGCTCTGGCATCATCAAGCCTGGCAGGTAGGCTTGTGAGTCGTTGCAACGAATCGTTGCTGAGGGAAATGCGGCTAGCCTGGACCAGTGCCGCCTCTTCTTCGTCCTCGGGTGCGGCGATTGTGGCCATGTTTTTGCGACGCCTTGAAAGGAAGAACCCTCGAGATCCTTTCACCAATCATCACCAACCAGCACCAGCACTTAGCATCATCCCAAATTTCGCAACTCACAGCATCACCCTCAGTATCCCAGCATTGATCATCACCAGCGGCCCCACCCATTCCTCCCAACTCATAGAATGACGCTGCTGCTCGGCCCGCCAGGCAGCGGCAAGTCAACCCTCCTCAAGATTATATTTTCGGTGCTTCATCCTAATCAGCACCTAATCTCCCGCCTTTTTCTACGCAACACCACACCATGTGCTCTTCCCAACTCACAGGATGACGCTACTGCTGGGGCTGCCAGGCAACGGCAAGTCAACGCTGCTGAAGATCCTGGCAAGGAAGGAGGAGAGGGAGCTGGGCGTGCAGGGCGAGGTGACGTACAACGGCCGCCCAAGGAGCCAGTTTGTGCTGCCGCGCTCCATGGCGTTTGTGCCTCAGACGGACACCCGCATTGGCGAGATGACTGTCCGGAAAACCCTCCAGTTCTCTGCTCGCCTGCAGGGGCCCGGCCACCAGTCAGGTGAGTTCTTGAGGATGGCTATAGAGCAGGTGAGTTCTTGAGGATGGCTACCGGGCAGGTGAGTTTTTTAGGATGGCTACCGGGCAGGTGAGTTCCCCCTACCGGGCAGGTGAGACTGTCTGTGGGGAGACTCTGAAGTTTCCCACTCGCCTGCAAGGGCCTGGCCACAAGGAAGGTGAGGTTTGGGGAATTTCGCAACCCTCTCTCCCTCCCTCCCTTCCTTCTCCCTCCCCCCCTCCTTCCCTCCCTCCCTCGCTCCCTCCCTCCCTCCCTCCCCCCCTCCTTCCCTCCCTGCCTCCCGCCCTCCTTCCCTCCCTCCCTCCCTCCCTCCCTCCCTCACTCCCTCCCTCCCTCCCTCCCTCCCTCACTTCCTACCTCCCTCCCTCTCTCCCTCCCTTCCTACCTCCCTCCCTCCCTCCCTCCCTCCCTCCCTCCCTCCCTCCCTCCCTCCCTCCCTCCCTCCCTCCCTCCCTCCCTCCCGCCCTCCCTCCCTCCCTTCCTACCTCCATCCCTCCATCCCTCCCTCCATCCCTCCCAGCATCATCTCTTCTTTCTCGATGGTCTTCATTCGCCTCATCACCCAGTAGGTCATTCTCCCTCCCCTCCCTCCCCATACAGACCTATGTTAGCGGCTGGAAGAAACCACTCTCCACTCGAACATTCTTCTCTCCACTCCCTCTTCTCTTCCCCCCTCATCTCCCAAATCCCTCGTCTCCCAACTCCCTCCCAACCCCTCTCGCCTTATTCATTGCTCATTTTGCACCCTTCCCCCATACCCTCCCCGCTCAGACCTATTTCAACAGCTGGAAGAGAAATAACGGGATGCGGGAGTCCAGCCTGATGACATGATGCAAGCTGTTATGAAGGTAGTGATGACAGTTCCTCCCTCCCCACCAACTCCCTCTCCTCCCTCGTGTGTTATTCTAGTGCACATGGCAGCGTATGTGTCCCCCATTATGGCGACTTACATGCATGGCACACATACGTGTTTTAAATTGGAAATGTATTGTTATTTTATTAGTGCTCGCATGACACTTGATGCCACTCCAATCCAATATGCGCTTAGGATCGAAACACCACATCACCTCCACCCTTCCTACCATATAATATTTCTCCTCCCTCCACTCTCATCTTGTATTGCTTGCATGCGTAATCACCATTGCACCTTGCAGGCGATGGCGGATGAGAAACAGTGCTCGGATGTTGTGGTGCAGTTCGTTCTTAAGGTGTGTGTGGGGGAGGGAAAGGAGTGGGGGAGAGGGAGTCATCATTGTTCCTTCTGCGGGAGATGGCAGATAAAAGACAGTGCTTGGATGTTGTGGTGGATTTCGTTCTTAAAGTGTGTGTGAGGGAGGGGAGGGGGGAAGGGTGGGTGTGCGTGTGCATGAGTGAGTCTTGGTGTGTGTGTGGATGAGCTCACCAATGCTTCTTGGCAGGTGGCTATGGCAGGTGGCTGCTTGCTAGGCCTGGACATGTGTGCTCATACCATGGTAGGGTAAAGCATGCATCAAGGGTAGTAAGGAAAACATGCAAAATGCATCAGCCTCCTCCATTCTCTTTTCCACTCGATTTTCTCCCGCTCACCTGTCTTGCAGATGCTAGGCATCGACATATGTGCTAATACCATGGTAGGCGACGGCATGCGGCGAGGGATATTAGGAGGGCAAACGAAGCGGGTTACCACCGCCGAAGCACTCCTGGGCGCAAACCAAGTCCTCCTATTGGACGAGATCTCCACCGGTCTCGATTCCGCCACCAATTACCAGATCACCCAGTGCCTGCGCAACATCACGCACCTAACTAATACCACCACCCTCATTACCCCGCTGCAACCGGTGCCGGAAATCTTTGAGTTGTTTGATGACGCCAGGCTGATGTCAAATGGGGTTTGCGCCGCCCGCCCGCAAGGGAGTGGCTGACTTCCTGCTGTGCGAATAACGAGAGGAAATGAGTGAACAAGGAAACAGGTGGGGTACAAGTAGCAAACACAAAAGTGTTGTACCCTCTAAGGACTACCCCACTACAGCCTAAACAGACTATAGTATATATAAGTTTGACACACCCCCATAGGCAAAGTGGGGGAGAACAAGGGGTCACAAGACCAGTCAAGAAGGCAAAGCAAGCTCAGGGTGGATCACAAAGTCACCACGCAGTCTGAGCACAAGCAAAGGGCCACAAGGCCAGTTCACATGCAGAGTTATATAAAGGAAAGCAAACAATACAGTGAACACAACCTAGCAAGTGTAAGCATGCAGGTATAAGTATATAGAGTACAATACAAGCAGAGTCAAGAAGTCAGCAAGTGAGGCACAGTAGGTACAAGGCCTAACACAGTACAGAAACGCTGATGATCACAAGGCTGAAGTGCCTTGGTGAAAACATCAGCAGTGTTGGCCTGTGAGGCCACGTAAGCAAGACGAAGCTGGCCACGCTGCTGCAACTCTCGAGCAAGGAAGTAGCGCAGAGCAATGTGCTTCGTTCTGTGCTCCTGACACAAGGCCAGCATGGCCTTGTTGTCGACGTACAGAACTGGAGGAGAACGAGGCGCCTCTCCCAAGTCGGTCAGCAGGTAGGTGAGCCAGCATAGCTCCTGTGCAGCCATAGCCCCAGCGTAGATCTCAGCCTCACAACTCGAGCTGAGAACAGAAGAAGAGCGGGTAGACCGCCAAGAGACAGAACCGGAGCCAAGACTGAAGGTGTAACCCTGTGACGACCGCTGCGTAGCCAAGTCTTCAACCCAGGAGGCGTCAGCGTGACCAGTGAGGACAACTCGAGCCCGTCCTCCAAGCACGAGCCCCATGCCCGATGTACTGCACAAGTATCTCAACACCCTCTTCGCAGCATCCCAGTGCACCTTTCGGTGCCTGCCGGGAGCCACGTAGCGAGCCAGAAGGCTGAGAGGGTATGCGAGGTCAGGTCGTGTGCAAGTCATCAGGTACATGAGGCAGCCCACAAGCTCTGAATACGGGCCACTCGGCTCTACGGACTCGTCCAAAGGTGGAGCTGAGAGCGAGTGACCGGTAGGCAGAGGAGAGGACTGTGGCGAGGAGTACGTGAAGCCGAAGTGCTGAAGGACCTGCTGCACCATGTGTGACTGAGTCAAGGTAATGGTGCGCTGTGCTCTGTCCCGGGTGATCCGCAAGCCAAGATAGCTTGTGAGCTCACCCAGGTCTGTGCACGTGTGTCTCTTCTGCAGCTCGGACTTTACGTGGGCAAGTGCCTCAGTGTCAGCAGTAGCAAAGACGAGGTCGTCTACGTACACGAGAACGTAGAACGGCGGCAGAGTAGTGTCAGTGCGTAAGAACAGAGAAGGGTCAGAAGTGGAAGGAGCAAAACCAAGAGCAGCAAGAGTCATCTTGAGTGTGTCGTGCCACCCACAAGGTGCCTGGCGGAGACCGTAGACTGGCCGCCGGAGGCTCCACTGGGTACCAGCTGGAAACGACCCAGTGAAGCCAGGTGGGCGGCGCAGCCAGATCTCCTCGTGCAGGCTGCCCTGTAGGAAGGCTGTGCTGAAGTCAAGCAAGTGGAGCTCGTAGTCACGCTGAGCAGCTACGTGCAGCAGTACCCAAAGAGTTGTCATCTTCGGGGTAGGGGAGAAGGTCTGAAAGAAGTCAACTCCCTGTCGCTGACTGAAGCCACGTGCAACGTAACGCGCCTTGAAGACTGGCTGAGAACCCGGCGGCCGCTTCACCCTGAAGATCCACATGCCACTGACGATGTTCGCCCCAGGTGGGGGAACCTCGTCGACGTAGGTGCCTGTGGACTTCCAGGAAGCCATCTCGGCGTCCATGGCTGCCTGCCACTGAGAGGACTAGGGACCCTCTATCGCCTCTGCGTAAGAGCGCGGGGTCGGGATGTCTGGTGCATCCGGGTCTCCCTCAGGGGCAAGCAGCATGGACACGAGATGAGGTACAGAAGCAGCAAAGCACTCAAACTCCTCCTGTCTGTCCTCAATTACGTCCGTGCTAAGAGCACACTCACCCTCGACGGACGGAGGACAGACAGACACACACGCAGACTCAGTAACAAGACTAGCGGTGTAGTCTAGGCGACATGCTGCAGCAAAGTCAACAAGCTCAGTAACAAGAGCAGACGCAGCAGTGGACTCAAACAAAGGGTCAGTGACAGCAGTGGCCAGAAAGCGCGTGACAGCTGGACTAGCAGCACGGAGGGAGTCAAACGCAGGGTCCGGACCGGCAGGAAGAGAGGAAGAAGGAGGAGACGGCAGAGGGACACGCTGTGGAGCAGTGGAAAGACGCAGAGTCATAGAGTGAGTGCCAGGGACAGGAGGAGGATGCGGACGCGAAACACGACCAGCGCGAACAGGACGGACAAGCGACGCAGAACGAGACTCAGGCGACACAGGACGAGACTCAGGCTCACGACGCTCCGTAAGACATCTAGTCGGTCCAGAGTAAGGAGAAGGACCAGGCAGTGGAGAGGCTGGCTGGAACCTCGACTGGGACTGGACAGGCGGTGGACTCAGTAAAGGAGGAGGAGGACCAGGAGAAGGCGGGGAGTCAAGAACCTGCTGAAGAAGCGGAACGTAGTACGGCCGCGGCCGCACAGCGCCTCCAGAAACAGCAGAGACAGAACCGGTACCCTCAGCCCCAGGGTCTCCAGTCCCAGCAGCACCTCCAGCAGCTCCAGCACCAGCAGCACCTCCAGCAGCTCCAGCACCAGCACCACCTCCAGCAGCTCCAGCACCAGCAGCACCTCCAGAAGCTCCAGCACCAGCAGCACCTCCAGAAGCTCCAGCAGCACCTCCAGTACCAGCAGCACCTCTAGCATCACCAGCACCAGCAGCACCTCCAGAAGCTCGAGCAGCACCTCCAGCACCAGCAGCATCTCCAGCAGCACCAGCACCAGCAGCACCTCCAGAAGCTCCAGCAGCACCTCCAGCACCAGCAGTACCTCCAGCAGCACCAGTACCAGCAGCACCTCCAGAAGCCCCAGCAGTACCTCCAGTAGCTCCAGCAGCACCCCGACAGCGCCGAGAGTACCACTCACGAAGCTGCTGTGGAGAGAGAGGCTCCCGCCGCGGTGGGACGCCTAGAGCACCTCCAGACGCAGCACGCGCAGGCTCAGCACCTCCAGACATAGTACCCTCAGGCTCCACACGCCCAAGCTCAGCACCCCCAAGCTCAGAACGCCAAGACTCAGCACCCCCAGACTCAGCACCCCCAGTCCCTGCACCCGCAGGCTCAGCACCCCCAGACTCAGTACCTGAGTCGACAGCTACCTCGACCGGCTCGGCAGGGTCTACCTGGGACACACCTGAGGGGGAAGGACCCTGGGGGGGGAGGGGGGCTACCGGGGGAGTACCTGGTGCCAGGAAGAGCGGCGGGGGGGGGGTGGAGAGGCAGTGCGGTAGGGAAAGAGACGGTAGTACGACACCGACTCGTCAAACGTGACGTCCTGAGAGGACAGAACTCGACGCAAGGTGGGGTGGTAGAACTGCCACCCGGGTGCGTCAGGAGGGAAGCCAAGGAAGACACAGGGAACGGCACGGGAGGACAGCTTGTCCGCTGTAGTATCGCGGACAAAAGCTCGAGATCCCCAGACACGGAACGCGGACGCATCGCCAACCTTCCCCGTCTACTGCAGAGTAGGTGTGGTCTCCGGTAAGGAGACACGAGGCTGAAGGTTGATCTGATGCGCAGCGTACTGAACCGCGAACGGCCACAGAAAATGGGGAGCAGCCGCATGGATCATGGGCGTACGAGCGACGTCCATGACCATGCCAATGCGACGCTCAGCAATCCCATTTTGCTGCGGGGAGGCCGGAAGCGTGAACGTCTGGCGGATGCCCTCCGAACGACAGAAGGCTCTCAGGAGGTCGGAGGAAAACTCCCCGCCTCTGTCTGAGTGTAGACGCAGAACAGGAAGGTCTGAGCCGAAACTCTCACTGAGCTGGCAACGAGCACCGCGGATCCAGTCGATCAACACCTCAGGGACCTCACCCTTGCTGCGCAAGGGGAAGACGGTGGTGTAACGCGAGCAGTCGTCAACGACCAGCAGGAAGTAGCGCTCGTGACCCTGTCCACGGACGCGGGCTGGGCCCCACACGTCCATGTGAAGAGTCTGCAGAGGGGCCTCAGTCGGAGGGAACGAGGAGGAGTGAGGAGCGGCGCGCTGCCGGCCCTCGACACAAGGAACACAGGTGGGGGCAGGCCCCGGAGGAAGGGGAGGGAGGGCCCTGGGGAGTCCAGAGACAAGAGCACGGGAGGCCATACCTCGAAGACGAGGCAGGGAGGGGTGACCAAGGCGGTGGTGCCAAAGGAGAGTCTCGTGCGCCATAGGACGACACGAGCAGGGGGCAGACGCAGGACTAGACCTGGACGCGGCAGCAAACACCTGACTAGACGCAGCTACCTGACCAGACGCAGGGACCGGAGGAGGCGCAGTAGTTAGTGTGTATAGACTCGACCCTGGCCGACGGGTGAACCTGGCCAGGTGGCGGCCCGTCCGAGAGCAAGTGTAGTGGGTCACACGCTGACCTCCAGGGGTGAACTGGTCAACCCACGCGTCCTGGAGGTCAGCTCCACTCACCAAGTTCGTAGAGAACGAGGGGAGGTGGAGTCCCGACAGCAAGCCCGACGGGGCCGCAGGACACCGTAGAACCGTGGAGGAGTGTGCAAGGACTGGGCCCCCGGAGGGGTCAGCAAGGGAGACCGCAACAGGCCGACTGAGCGGCGTGAGCATGGTGCTGTCTCTAAAGAAAGAGCGCGAAGCACCAGAGTCAAGTGTGAAAGTGTGCAAGGACTCAGTGGGTGCAGTACAAGAGAGAGCAGACTCACCAGCACCTGGAGCAGCAGACGCACCAGTACCTGGAGCACCACTAGCACCTAGAGCAGCAGCCTCAATGTCCGAGTCGGGCGTGACACTCAGGTAACAGTCACCCTCAGCACTATCAGCAATAACATACATGGCAGCAAGGATAGCATCAAAATCTAGATCAAAGATAGGCACATTCTGCAGAAGCAGATCATGCCAGCGAGGGAGCTCAACGGCGTCAGGAAACTGGGCACGCCAAGCGTCAGTCAGGCGACCGAAGCAGCGCTGCGTAGTGTGTGGAAGCCCACACACCTCCTCGCTACGAGTGCCGGTGCGAAGAACGTAAGTGCAGGGACCTGCACCCCCAGACCTCCCACGCCCAGTGTACCACTCACGAAGCTGCTGGACCGACGGGGTCTCACGGGAGCGCAGCTGCTGCTGGCGCTGGCTGCCACCAACGCCTCCACGCTGCGCGGCTGCACCTCGACCAGTACCACCGCCACCGCCACCGCCACCACCGTTGCCGCTGCCTCCACCACCTCCGCCACCGCCGCCACTACCTCCACCGCTGCCACTGACACCCCCACTCCCAGGACCACCTCCACCGCCACCTCCCCCGCCTCCTCCACCTCCGCCACTGCTGCCCCCGCCGCCCCCTCCACCACCCTTGCTCCCCTTGCCCCTGCTATTGCGGCGTCTCCCACTAGGGGCAGATGCAGCTCCGACCTCCTCAGTGCCAACGAGGTCAACAGCAGCAGCAGAAGCAACAGAGGGGAGAAGGGGGACAGGGGAACACCCCTCAAAGAAGGGGGTGCGACGGTCGCCGCGAGAAGCACCTACAGCTAAGATACTCTTCTCAGCCGCAGCAAGGCGCTCCTCTAGCAGGTCGACAGTCAGCTCGGTGGGGCAAAGGGAGAGAGAGTGATCCGTGACTGAAGAGAGGGGGTCAGGGAGGCGGGTGACTAGGTAGTAAAGGGTGATGTACATGGGGGGGGGGTTCTTGGCACAGAACTCAGTGGGAAGGGCAGCGCGGTAGCGGGCGTCACTAGTGCGAAGGTGAGCAACTAGGTCAGTAACTGTGGCAAAGGCGGCAAGGTCAGGGAAAAGGTACGGTAGCATGAGGCGGCTGAGGGCAGCAGTGGCAGGGGAGGAGTAGCGTGCAACTACAGCGTCGTACAAAGACTGAGCAGTCTTGTACTGGCCAAAATGCGCGCGCTCAGCAGGCGAAAGGTGACTACGAACAGCAAGACGAGCAACGGCGTCACGAGTGGTCCACTGCGAGCGAACTGTACTACCAGCAGTGGCAGCAGGTGCAGTGGAAACACAAGACGTGTGATCGAAAAGGGATACCCCATCCCTGGAATCACACTGAAGAAAAAGCTGTAGGTCATCAACCCACACGTCGAAGTCAACTGCACGTCCCTCAGCATCAAAGGTGAGAACGGTAGGACTAGCCATAGCAGCAGTAGGAGCAGTAGTACGAGGAGCAGCAGTAGCAGCAGTAGCAGGGCGACAGCAGCAGCAGTAGCAGCGCGACTCGGCAGGGCAGGGCAGCGCAGGTGCAGCAGCAAGCAGGTGTGGCGGTGCACTTACCAGCGGCGGACGAGGTGGGCCGCTACTGGTGGGGCTGGGCCGGGGCGCGTCAGGCAGGGCGGCTGCAGGCTTGTCAGTGGCAGCAGGGCCGCTACGGTGGCAGCTGCTGCTGCAGGGGTGGCGACAAGGCAGGGGCTACGTCGCGGGCAGGGACGACGCCTCGGGCAGGGGCGACGCCGCGGGCTGGGGCGACGCCTCGGGAAGGGGCGACGCCGCGGGAAGGGGCGACGCCGCGGGCAGGGGGGCGACGTCGCGAGCAGAGGCGACGCCGCGTGGGCAGGGGCGACGTCGCAGGCAGGGGCGACGCCGCGGGCAGGGGCGACTCCGCGCGGGTCTCGCAGGGGCGTCGCGACGAGGCAGGGTGGCGACGGGGCGGGGCCGCGACCGGTGACGGGACGGGGCCGCTGCGGGCGACGGGGCGAGGCCGAGAAGGGGCCGCGAATGGGCCGCTGAGGGGCCGCAAAGGGGCCGCTAAGGGGCCACGAGGGGGCCGTGAGGGGGCTGCTAAGGGGCCGTAAAGGGGCCGCGAGGGGGCCGGGCAGGCCGCGAGGGGGGGCCGCTAAGGGGCCGCGAGGGGGCCGGGCCGCTAAGGGGCCGCAAGGGGGCCGGGCAGGCCGCGAGGGGGCCGCGAGGGGGCCGCTAAGGGGCCGCAAGAGGGGCCAGGCAGGCCGCTAGGGGGCCGCGAGGGGGCCGCTAAAGGGGTCGCGAAGGGGCCGCTAAGGGGCCGCGAAGGAGCCGCTAAGGGGCCGTGAAGGGGCCGCTAAGGGGCCGCGAGGGGGCCGTGCAGGCCGCTAAGGGGCCGCGAAAGCTTAGGGCAGGGCAGAGCGCGAAGCGCGCTTCGGGCAGGTTAGGAAAAAAAAAATTTAACGTGGTGGGCCCTTAGGAAGAAACGGTCCCACTAGGGAACCCGCTCTATACCATGTGCGAATAACGAGAGGAAATGAGTGAACTAGGAAACAGGTGGGGTACAAGTAGCAAACACGAAAGTGTTGTACCCTCTAAGGACTACCCCACTACAGCCTAAACAGACTATAGTATATATAAGTTTGACACCTGCAAGAGGCGAGTTTCTCACATGGTGCCTCTCATTTGAATCGACTCATCACCAGCAAGTTGTATATATTAAGCATTAACCTTGTTATTTTACCTAGTTATTTTTGCGTGTGTATGTGTGTGTGTCTTTCTTGTTTTGTTTTCCCCTTCCCTCACCCCGGGTTCCTATAATGTGCTTTCTGTCATCCCCCGTTAAGGTCACCTTGTTAAAAGACTAGAAGCAGTACTGGCACCCCGCCTAGCCGCACCGATACCACTATCAAACTTATATGCTATAGTCTATCTAGGCTGTAGTGGGGTAGTTCATATAGGGTACAACACTTTTAGGTTTCCTACTTGTACCCACCTCTTCTTTGTTTCAGTCATTCATTCCTTCACCATTCTGACATGGTATTCTTAGCAGGTTCCCTAGTGAGAACGTTTTTTTTTAAGGGCCCACCACGATTTTTTTTCCTGCCCTGCCCGAAGCGCGCCTCGCGCCTGCCTCACCTGCGCCGTCGCGCACCCTTCCCTAGTACGGCCCGTCGCGGCCCTACCTTCGCTGGCCCGTCGCGGCCCTGCCTTCGCCGCCCGACGCTGGCCCGTCCCGGCCCGTCCCGGCCCGTCGCCGCTCGTCGCTGGCCCATCGCCGCTCGTCGCGGCCCTGCCTTCGCCGCCCACTGCGGCCCTGTCCTGCAG